CACTCTTTTTACCTATTCACAATCTACTCTATGAAGAAAAAATGTGCTATTTCCAGCATGGTGGGAAAAAAATTCAGGTTTCTTTGCCCTGCTGAACAATGTTACAGAAAAGTCAGGAGAAAGTAGGGAAAGTAAAATAGGGAACTTCAGAAATGTAAGTCTGCCATATTGAAAGTGCTCAGCTTTATCAGATCAGTGGGTTTTTTTAAAGGGCATATTTTATCTTTCCTATTTAAATCCTCTCTTACTGTACTCCAGATTTAACCATACTTTACCCCTGATGGATTCTTCTCCATATTAAAACTCAGAAACTCCCAAAGGTTGTCTCACTTATTGTCTTCAAGATAAGGGAGAAGGCCACCCTCTGATTTCTGGTACTATTATTGAACTCTTCTCTGTATACATTGATATATATTTTTAAAGTGTTTAATCTTCAGATAAAATTCTACTTGAAATACACTGCATTTTAGATAAACATTGACATTATTGTTAGATTCTGATATTTGGATGATAATTATGGGTGCAGTGTTTCGAACAGCCAAACCTAAACTGAGCTTACAACGAGGAGTGTGCTTTTTATATAGGAGAGCATTCAGAAATATTCCTTTTGCATTTGGAACTGATTTGTTTGGAATTCCATTACTTCAGACTTTCACCATATCTGTGTAATATGTAGGCTGAAACTCTAAGATCCAATTTTGCTAGTCTAACAACTATGCTTCAACATCTACTGCCTAAATTGTCCATGACGTCATTGCTTTCCAGCTCCCAATACCCATTAGCCTTAAGCAGTCCTGTGTAAAACAAGCAACGATCCAAATTTGACTCCTAATTTGCTTGTGCCACATTTCACCTGATTTCATCATTAGCCCAAACAGCTCTGGTGCTCATGAAGGCTTTAAAAACTTTTCCATTATAAGAGTTTGGAGACTTGGTTTATAAACATATACCGTTTTTTCGCTCTATAAGACGCACCCGACCATAAGCCGCACCTAGTTTTTAGAGGAGGAAAACAAGAAAAACCAGCAAGAGCCACAGACTTGAAATTATATTATGAAGCATCTTGCCTTTGTTGGCTGAAGGAATGGATGAAATTAGAAAATACTGATTTGTTAGACTTAGAAGGTTTTGATAACAGATTTGGGTGGTGTCAGGGAACTGACATCGGAGCTAGAGGTGGAGGGGAGGCTCTCTAATGATGCTGGAGAAGGGCCCAGCAGGGAGAGAGGCAGCTCAGCAGATGGGGAAGCAATTCAGTGCAACACCAGGAATAAGGAGGGGCAGATGGGGGAATTGGAGAGAGGGCTCCCAGACTCTTCACCGGACACCAGCGGGGAGAGCACTGGTCCTCCGCTACCCACGCCCTCCCTGCGCAGGAGACTTCCGCGCAGAGAAAGTAGGAGGAGACTGGGTGTCAAACAACTTTTATGTTGGAAAAGGTTTAAGAAACGCCCACTGACGGATTCTGCTAGCGACTGAGGCAGCCACGAATTGAAGGGCTGTCCAGACAGAAAGGTTTAACAAGGCAACATAGCCAGGAGAGGCGGCAACTTACACACGAGCAACCCCATACCATTATAGGTGGCATGCATATTTATGGTATGATAAAAAGCGAGTACACAAAGGTTTCGAAAACCACACCATAAGTAGGTCTTTGATTGAAGTTTGGGAAAGGTATAAAAACCTGTTGGAAGCAAAAAACTCCATATTGGTTGTCACCATTAGAGGCGATGAGCATGAAAAAAATTAATATGAAAGGGGGATGGGCAACATATCAGAATTTAATAATAAAAACAGAAGGTAAATGGAAGATGAAGTCGTTTAATGTAGTTAAGGAATATGTTAATGATTGGCTGCACTATTTTCAAATCAATGAAATGTTTAAAAAAGATCTGACACTAAGAGTCTTTGATGATAAAGAATCAAAATTTCAGAAAGAAATAATAAACAGTGATTTCAAAGTTTTGGCTAAAATGTATAAGATATTATTAGAATGGTATACAAAGGATGAAGAGGTAAAATTGGTTATGATTGACTGGGCCAAAGATTTTGGATATAATATACAAATGGAGGACTGGGAGAAATTATGGAAAGAAGGTTTAAGATTCACTGCATGTATAACAATAAAAGAAAATGTGATGAAAATGATGTATCGATGGTATGTAACACTTAGCAAGGATGTACAAGAGATGTAATAAATGTTGGAAATGTAAAGAAAAAGAAGGCACATTCTATCATATGTGGTGGGAGTGTAAGAAAGTTAGAAGCTTTTGGGAAATGATATATAATGAATTGAAGAAAATGTTCAAATACACATTTGTTAAGAAACCAGAAGTGTTTTTACTTGGTATTACAGGGAATGAGATAAATAAGAAAGGAAGGAAGTTATTTTTATATGCAGTGACCGCAGCAAGAATATTGATGGCCCAGAAATGGAAGCAAGAGGAGCTACCTACGTTAGAAGAATGGAGAATGAAGATGATGGACTATGCAGAACTTGATAGATTGACTGGAAGGATTCGAAATCGATGAGATCAGAGATTCACAGAAGATTGGGAAAAGTTCATAGAATATATGCATAAACTAAGTGATAATCAAATAACGTTTGTAAGTTTTAATGAAGCTCTATGTGAAGAAACGTTAGATTGTGAGTAAAAATAAGAACTAATTTATAAAAACAATGGAAGTAAGATTTTAGAAATGTGTAAGAAATTAAGAAGGGAAGGAGTATCAGTCAAGTTGAGGGAAGTCAAAAAGAGAATGGAGATAAAAATAAGATGCATGAATTGTATAAACTTTGTATTGGAAAAATGAATAAAAATATTATATATATATATATATATATATATAGAGAGAGAGAGAGAGAGAGAGAGAGAGCCACAGACACGCTCGCTCGGTGCGGCTCTTTAAAGATAGAGTGGCTCTTGCTGGCTTTTCCGGGAGGTGAGAGAAGGGACTGACAGGCTGCCCTCCGTCCCTTCTCCCACTTCCCTGAAAAGCCAGAGCAAGCTGCACAGTACCTCTTGCTCTGCTGGCTTCCCAGCGATGCGGGACGAGGGACGGAAGGGGCTCTGTAAGCTCTCCCTCTTGCTCTGTTGGCTTCAGTGATAGCTGCGCAGTGCCTCTTCAGCGAAGCAGGAGGAGGAATGGAAGGGGCTCCATAAGTGCTCCCTTCTGCTCCTCCTCCCGCTTTGCTGGGAAGCCAGCAGAACAAGAGACGCTGCGCAGCTCTCACTCTTCCTCTGCTGGCTTCAGTGATAGCTGCACAGCCTGCATTCACTCCATAAGACACACACACATTTCCCCTTACCTTTTAGGAGGAAAAAAGTGTGTCTTATGGAGTGAAAAATACGGTACATTTGATCCTAACAGAGTCCTTGATTAAAGCAGGGGTGGCTAACTCGTCACCCACAGGACATATAGGGTCCCAGAGTTCCCAATTTTTTTTAAGGGGGGGGGATTCAGCATTGTGTTGTGACAAACATTCTGTGCAAAAATTTCAACTTGCCAAATGGAGCAATCTCTGCTGTCCTCCGTCACACTGTTCTGGGCATTTTCCTGACCCTCCTTGGTGAATTTACATGGCCTGCTTAAATGTTGGAAATGTAAAGAAAAAGAGGGAACATTTTATCACATGTGGTGGGAATGTAAAAAGGTGAAATGCTTCTGGGAGATGATATATAATGAGTTGAAAAAAATGTTGAAATATACATTTATAAAGAAACCAGAAGCATTTTTATTGGGCATTGTGGGGAGTGACATAAATAGAAAGGAATGTAAGCTCTTTTTATATGCAATAACAGCAGCAAGAATATTATTGGCCCAAAAATGGAAGCAAGAAGAATTACCGAAAACTGAAGAATGGAGGATGAAGTTAATGGACTATGCAGAATTAGATAAACTAACAGGAAGGATTCGAAACCAGCGAGACCAGAAATTCACGGAAGACTGCAATAAATTTTCGGACTATTTGAAAAGTATTTGTGAAGAACAGACGACGTTTGTAGGGTTGCAAGAAGTTTTGTGAGGAGTATTATTAGAAGTATTGTAGAAATGGACAAGGGGGAGGATGATTTGTTAAGAGATGTAAAGGCAATATAAAGTTAAGAAATGCATAAGAAGTGGTTAAAACGGTGGATCATCAGAGGTGCTGATGGAAGTCTAAAAAGATTGTATAAGTGATAAGTTTTGTGGTACATCTTATAATTTATATGTTAAAATCAATAAAAAATATTATAAAAAAACAAGAATTTTCATGGCCTGCTGGTACATGAATTGCGCAAGTGGAAGTCCTTACACAAATCTCTGACCCACACCCATACTCAGTTACCTTCTGAAAAGCCTTCCCCCACACACATAAAACTTGATTTTGAGACAATTCATACTTGACTACATCTACAGTGACAATGGAACATTATTTTCACTTACCAAGTAGGAAGGATGGGCCTGAATTCAAGTTGGCAATAATCAATTATGTTCCAAATGCATATACCGTATTTTTTGCTCTATAAGACTCACTTTTTCCCTCCTAAAAAGTAAGGGGAAATGTCTGTGCGTCTTATGGAGCGAATGCAGGCTACACAGCTATCACAGAAGCCAGAACAGCAAGAGGGGTTGCTGCTTTCATTGCGCAGCGATCCCTCTTGCTGTTCTGGCTTCTGAGATTCAGAATACCGTATTTTTCGCACTATAGGACGCACTTTTTCCCCTCCAAAAATGAAGGGGAAATGTGTGCGTCCTATAGTGCGAATGCAGGCTTCACTGAGCCTGGAGAGCGAGAGGGTCGGTGCGCACCGGACCCTCTCGCTCTCCAGGCTTCAGGAGAGCCCCAGCGCCAGCCCCACAAGGTCGGGGGACAGAGGGAGGCGGAACGCCGCCAACCCGCTGTCTCCCGAACTGGTTTGGTGGCTGACGGCGGGGAGACCCCGCCGCCGGCCCCGCAAGCTCCGGGGACAGCTGGGAGACGCAGCGCGTCTCCTCGCTGTCCCCGGACCTGATCGCAAGGCGGGCGGCAGGGAGAAGAGCGCTTCTCCCCGCTGCCTGCCCCCAAGCTCCGGGGACAGCTGGGAGACGCAGCGCGTCTTCCCGCTGTCCCCGGACCTGATGTCAAGGTGGGCGGCAGGGAGAAGAGCGCTCTCCCGCTGCCTGCCCCCAAGCACCGCGGACAGCTGGGAGACGCAGCGTGTCTTCCCGCTGTCCCCGGACCTGATTGCAAGGCGAGCGGCAGGGAGAAGAGCGGCTCTCCCCGCTGCCTGCCCCCAAGCTCCGGGGACAGCTGGGAGACGCAGCGCGTCTTCCCGCTGTCCCCGGACCTGATCACAAGGCGGGCGGCAGGGAGAAGAGCGCTCCCCGCTGCCTGCCCCCAACCTCGGGGGACCGGTGGGAGACGCAGCGCGTCTCCCGGCTGTCCCCGGACCTGATCGCAAGGCGGGCGGCAGGGAGAAGAGCGCTCTCCCGCTGCCTGCCCCCAAGCTCCGGGGACAGCTGGGAGACGCAGCGCGTCTTCCCGCTGTCCCCGGACCTGATCTGAAGGCGGACTGCGGGGAGAAGAGCGCTTCTCCCCGCTGCCGGCCCCACAAGCGCCTGGGGGGGAAATAATTTTTTTTCCTTTATTTCCCCCCCAAAAAACTTGATGCGTCCTATGGGCCGGTGCGTCCTATGGTGCGAAAAATACGGTATATTTTTTTTCTTGTTTTCCTCCTCCAAAAACTAGGTGCGTCTTGTGGTCTGGTGCGTCTTATAGAGCGAAAAATACGGTTCCTTAGCAATGTATTTTTTTAGTATTATCTAATAGTCAAAGACACAACTGCACTAACATAGTTGACCTCGGCTCACTTTCTGAGCCATTCATTAACTCAGAGGTTAGCAGCAGGCAAGTTAGCTTTCTGTTCAATCTTTTTGTCAGAAAAACACTTACTCTTCCCCGTTCTTGGTTATATGAGGTCCTTCAATATAGCAGGTACTTCATCATTTGTAAAAGGCAGGTTGGAGTATGCGCGGAACAAACACAGTGAAGACCAAAGAGAAAGCTTTATATTTGCTCACAGTACTGTGACCTTGCCAAACTCAAAGAGGAGATATATCTTTCCTCTTCAATACATTTATGACACTTCACATTCTGCTAAGCAACAGAAAAATATATCGCTAATGCAGTGCCCAAGCACCCATTTGCACTGCAAAAGGTTCAGCAATGCTCTAATCTTGCTTCATAAAGAACGAAACCTCACTCTTTGTTCTCCAGGCAATGCTAGATGGCATCAACCACCATGGCCAGGAAGAGGAGGAGCCTCAAGAGAGAAGGAGCGTGGTTTCCCCCTTCATTAACAGACCAGTGCATTCTTTCCGAGACCACATAACACCGGTTACCTACATTGGCTCCCCGTACATTTCCGAGCCCAATTCAAAGTGTTGATGTTGACCTTTAAAGCCCTAAACAGCCTCAGCCCAGTGTACCTGAAGGAGTATCTCCACCCCTATCGTTCTGCCCGGATGCTGAGATCCAGTGCCGAGGGCCTTCTGGCAATTCCCTCATTGCGAGAAGCAAAGCTACAGGGAACCAGGCAGAGGGTCTTCTCAGTAGTGGCACCCGCCCTGTGGAACACCCTCCCACCAGATGTCAAAGAGATAAACAGCTACCTAACATTTAGAAGACATCTGAAGGCAGCCCTGTTCAGGGAAGTTTTTAATGTGTGACATTTTAATGTATTTTTATTCTTTGTTGGAAGCCGCCCAGAATGGCTGGGGAAACCCAGCCAGATGGGCAGGGTATAAATTATTATTATTATTATTATTATTATTATTATTATTTTCCCACATTAGAGAGAGCTGTGAGCGGGGGTCAACTTCTCTTTATAAATAATTTTTATTAATGTTCTAATTTACATTTTCAAATATTCTTTTAAACAACCTTAAATCAGTGGGTTCCCTTCTTCTCCTTCCATGGTTCAACTTGATTACCATACATCCCTGCATATTGTACATAATCTAAACCATTGAATATTTCATTATTACATCCATCAAAACTGAATTACACTGTTGAATTTATCTTAATGGTACCAGCGTTTTTAAGTGTACACAATTCTCCCCCACATATTCAATAAACATTTTCTAATCTTCTTTAAATGTATGTTAAATTCTTCTTTGGTTGGGACCTCGCTCTTTTTCCATTTTTGTGATAACAAAACACAGGCCGCGGTAGTGGCATACATAAATAACCTTTTTTGACATCTAGGAATTTCCATCTGAATTATCCCCAACAAAAAGGACTCTGTTTTTTTTTTGTTTTTTTTTAAGTACTTTTAAACATTTTTTTTCAGTTCATTATAAATTATTTTTCAGAACTCTTTTACCCTTTTACAAGTCCACCACATATGATAAAACGTGCCCTCAACCTCGTTGCATCTCCAGCACTTATCTGATTCGGACTTACACATTTTAGCAAGTCTACTTGGAGTTATATACCTTCTATAAATCATTTACAGGTAGTTCTCCTTCAAGGAATAATATGCTGTGAACCTACCCCCTCCCCCAAATTCACAGGGATCAGCTTCTCTTGGCAACTCACTGGTCTGCTAGTGCAGCTTATTTTATCAATCCTGTCAAGAGTTTTCAAACAAAAAAAGAGATGCCTCAATCATAGGATTAGGATAAGGGATGAATTGTATCTACTTTTTCATGTAATTCTAAAAGCCTATTCTCTTCCCATTTTATCACACCCTTTATAAAATATTGCAACATCCATATCTGAGCAATACTTTTATTAGGCCAAGCAAAATGTCACAAAATAATGCACACGCTTTCAAACACTCCAGTATTCTTCGTCAGGCTAGATGTCAGGGACTGGGCAGTAAGCTCTCCACATTGATTTTTTAAAAAAAATAATTTTTATTGAATGGTTTTATGTTACAAAAAACAATACAGCCATACTACCACTAAATATAATTAAGAAATAAAAATTACATACATATTTAGTTTGTTATTTGTTATTTACCGTCTTATTTCCTCCCAAACATTGCATACAACAACACACATATGTGCAGACACCCACACCTGCACACAAAATCTTCCAAAATCTTTTCTTCAACTTTGACTTCCTGTCAAGTCCCTTTGCATATATTTTATCTTATATTTGAATGTACACAAAACAATAAACCTTTCTATATAATTTTTATAATACATTCTGAAAACATAATAAATCCTGAATTGTTGTCCACCCCCTTTTAGTTCCTTTATCACTCGAATGCTAGCATGGAGTCAAAACTATTATTGTATTTTTGAACATATCTTCTATAACCATCCCATTTTTCCGCAAATTTTTGCTTTGAGTTTCCTCTGAGTTTACTAGTCAGTTGAGCCGTTTCCACCAATTCCTGTAATTTGATTTGCCAATCTGTTATTTTTGGAGCCTCGTGATCTTTCCATCCCTTGGCCACAAGTATACGAGCCGCTGCGGTTGCATACAAGAATACCTCTCTTAGGTTTTTTGGGATCTCTTTATCTAAAATACTTAATAGAAATGCCTCCATTTTTTAAGTAAAAGTTATCCCCATCATCTTTTTTAATTCATTGTATATCCCCCCCCAAAAAAATCTTAATCTTTTCACACGTCCACCACATGTGGATCATGCCACCGTTATTTCCTCCACATCTCCAACAAGCATTCGCCAAATTTGTATGCATTCTTGATAATCTTGATAATCTCCACATTGATTTTGGTCAGTTTGCAACTTTTCAGAAAGGGTGTGCCTTTCTCCTAATATGCAGATTATTTTTGCAAGCATTTTCTTCTCATATAATTGATTTTTGTGTTTGATTTCCACTAATGTATGCTTTTTAAAGGACTGCATCGACAAATATATGCATCTTTTTGCATGTTACTTGGTTGCAGGACTGCATCATAAAATTTGGAGACGTGCAGATTTCAGGAATGCCCAACTTTTCCAGGTGCAGCGATCCAGGGGTATTGAAAAGACACAGATTCCATTTTTTTAAAAAAATGATATTTATTAAAATTTCAAAAGAAAAAGATTAAGAAAATTAACAATAAAAAGGAAAAATACAAAATACAAAATACAAAAAAGAAAAAACAGTTAAAAACAATTCCATCTTTTCATCACTTCTTTTACATTTACTTGTTTCCCGGACCTCCTCATACCTCCCTCTTTGTATTCCAATTCAATTTGTTAGTCCAGCGATTCCTTTCCCTCCTTTTTAATCCTGATCTTTAATCTTGATATATTATAACATTAAATTTTTACATATTAAAAACCAATTTTTCCATATTCTTTTATACCATTACCGCTAGAAACCGCTTAACTTCAATCCGTCATCATTCTAACATTCATTAATTTTACAATATTTCTGTAAGTAGTCTTTAAATTTCTTCCAATCTTCTTCCACCGACTCTTCTCCCTGGTCTCGGATTCTGCCAGTCATTTCCGCCAATTCCATATAGTCCATCACCTTCATCTGCCATTCCTCCAGTGTGGGTAGATCTTGTGTCTTCCAATGCTTTGCAATAAGTATTCTTGCTGCTGTTGTAGCATACATAAAGAAAGTTCTGTCCTTCTTTAACACTGATTGGCCGACTATGCCCAGGAGAAAGGCCTCTGGTTTCTTCAAGAAGGTATATTTAAATACCTTTTTAATTCATTATAAATCATCTCCCAGAAAACCTTAATCCTTGGGCACGTCCACCAAAGGTGAAAGAATGTACCTTCAGTTTCTTTACATTTCCAACATTTGTTATCGGAAAAGACACAGATTCCAAAAGTCCATCATCTACTGATTTTTAGGCATAGGACCCTAGCATTCAAATGAGAGCCATGTTTGACATATACATACATTACCTCCCCCCCCCCCTAAAATATTTTATTGAAGTTCACACCCTGTTACCATCTTATGGTAACCCTACGGGACCGCCTCTCCTGGTATGCCCCACAGAGAAACTTACGGTCTTCAAATAAAAACATCTTGAAGGTCCCAGGCCACAGAGAAGTTAGGCTGGCCTCAACTAGAGCCAGGGCTTTTTCGGCTGTGGCTCCGATCTGGTGGAACACTCTGTCACAAGAGACCAGGACATTGCGGGACTTGACATCTTTCTGCAGGGCCTGCAAGACAGAGCTGTTCCACCAGGCCTTTGGCCAGGGCACAGCCTGACTCCCTCCCTCGGCAATCTTCACGGAGCTCTGGCCCAATGGTTGCCAGTGGCTTGAATTAATTAATTTTATAATGAATGATTTTAGAATGTTGTTTATGCTGTACTTTTGTACTGTTTTATTGTTGTTAGCCGCCCTGAGCCCGGCTTCGGCTGGGGAGGGCGGGATATAAATAAAATTTATTATTATTATTATTATTATTATTATTATTAGGGGGGCAGGAATGTTGCAATTCTATTTCTGTGGTCTCTGCTTAGAGCTGAGTCTTGCAACAAACTTTTAAAACAAACTCCATATTCCATTCTAGAGGCAAAACAGTAGTTTTAGATAAGTAAATGATAAGGTGTGAAAATGCTTTGTGAGAATTCCAGCTATACACCTGAATATCAAGCTGTGGCTGTGCACAACATGCCAAAATTATTTAATGTACATTTATAGCTGTTAAGGTGTGGGAAATAATAAAACACCATGATGGAGTAAACGGAGCATTTGGTTAAAAAAAGAAAAAAGAAATACAATTT